TCTTCCGACATGTATATTTCTCTTAATTCTAGTCCATATATATTCTTAAATTAATAAGAGTGAGACAAACTTTTATAATCAAGAATATGAAAATATATATATATATATATATATATATAGTTATCTTTAAGCAATATAAAATAATGCTCCATACAGGCCATTAAATTAGGTGATCGGAAATGCAAGATAGCAATCTATTATCCATATTAATTCTTCATGGATTACATGATCAGCTAAAAGTATATGAACACTGAATGAGCAGTAGTACTTTTCCTCTCTCCTAATTTGCTAGAGCAATATTAGTTGTTATCGAAAGACTTACCGGCCACATAAATTGATAAAAAGAAATAACACTATAAACACGATCAAACACAAATGTTTCAAATGTCAGCTAAAAATAAAAATATGAGCTTCGGGCAAAATATAAAATGACAACAATTAACGAAGACAGAAATTAATTACTTGGTAATTGGCTTAATTATCGCCTTCTTTGAGTGGGGTGGAGACGAGGTTCCACTGAGAAAATAAGGAGATTATAAGCGTGATACTATAATTCAAATCAATCCATGATAATTAACTAACAAATCAAGATCTCACACGCAAGAGAGACGTCTCTTAATTTACTCACCAAGAATTGAGCTAGAGAATAAGCTAGCCCTCACCACCCACTCAAATTGATTGAACTGGTCGGCCAATGAATACTAATTATTCGCATATATATATATATATGTGTGTGTGTGTGTGTGTTTATATAGTGAGAGATTTCGTAATGCCCAAGAACAAGACTTGGGCTCCAAGTCTTGAAGAGGGTGATCCCGTTGAGCAATGTGGTCTTGATTAGGGCATGGTGTTGGTGTGGATCAATATTAGCCACATTTTGACAATTACATTGTCCTGTCTTGTTATTTTCTTATAAACGCACTATATATATGGATATCTTAGATATATATAGATATATAGATATATATATATATATATATACATATATATATATATAGGCAGTGGGTCATCTAATAGAAAAAAAAAAAAAAAACCAAAGGAAATAGAAAAAGAAAAGAAAACAAAGGAAAGCATAATGCTCGATGCAAATAAACCAGCCACAACATAAATTTAAACAAGAGAATAATCCTTGCTGAATTTAAATATATTTTCTTTCAACAAAGCACATTACAATATTTAAGTGTTAGCAACGTTGTTAACTATATAAATTGTTTAAATTTGGATCATATATAGCTTTATGCTTTACTTGGATGGATCATATGAATTAGAAATGTTTTACAACTAAAAATTACTATTTAGGGTAAGAATTAGATGTCGTAATCCTTGATACCAAGAGCAATAAAATCATAAAAGAAAAGCAATGAAACAAGAACGTACATACAAGAAATTAAAGTGTCACCTTCAAGGTAAACGTTACGTTTACTTTTAGCCGTTGTTATAATTTATCATAATAAAGAAGAAAATTCAGATTCATCATGCACTACAACAAAAAAGCTTATTTACGACGACGAAATGTCGTCACAAATAACTATATTGTCATCGGAAATATTATATTTGCGATGACATATCGTCGTAAATTAGTCGTCGTAAAAAACTAGATGCAAATAATATATTTACGACGACAGAGTTTTAAGATTAGCGATGATGGTCGTAGCGAATAAGTCGTCGCGAATATTACGTCGAACATGTCATTGATGATGACGTGTCCTAAATTATTTGCAACGACAAATGTTGTCGCAAAAGTTTTTAAAACATTTTGCGACGACAAATCTAAAGTGTCGTCGCTAGTAATGTAGACTATTTGCGACGATATTTTAGATTTGTCGTTGCAAATTTTTTTTTTGCTGTACTTTCCTAATAATATTAATTATTAAATATATAAATTAGAAGAAAATTTAATTATAAAATAAAATAATAAAATTGATATTTGTTAATAAAAGATTGATAAAAATAGTCAACACAATAATAAAATAAGTCTTAAAAAGTAAATTAATCAAGAAATACTAAAAAGTATTGATAATAAGAAAAATAAAAACATATATTTTAATCTCCTAAATTAGCAGCATCGTCGTCCTCATCGTCATCCTCGTCCTCATCTTCTTTGTTTCGCTCAGGCGGCGGAGGAACCAACGGTTAGGGACGGTTAACTGGCAAGAAGTTGATGTTGGGATTCATCGGGCGCATGACTTCCATCATGATCTGCTGGTTGTCGAACATGTTGCATTGCTCGATGTAGAGGTTGTTCAGTCAGTTTTGGACATGCTGGGGCAAATTAACCAAAGATGATCTGTTCGATTGTGAAGCAGATGATGAGCTGGAAGTGCTTGAACGATTCCTCTGTGGCAGTGTCGGTCCCACTCCCTTAGTACATGTCCTCTGCGCTTGCCCAAGACTTGGGACATAATCCCCTCCTCATTGACCGCCGTAGATGAATCTTCCCCAACAGATTGTGTCATCTGCGTGGTTCTTTCCACCTCCGTCTGAGCCTACAAAGGTAAATGAAATAAAAATGAATAAAAATTGTATAATATGTTATGTTAAATATGAAAAAAGAAATAAGTTTAAAATTTACTTACAAATGCCTGTTCTGCGTCCGGATTAATAAAATTCTGCCCATGACGGTGCATGTCACCCCAATTGTCAATTAATGATCTTAGCTCATGGGTCTCGGGATTTGCCTAATCAAGTTGAATGTGTTAGAATAATTATTAAGCCAAAGTGACAAAAACTTACAAGTATGTAAATTAGTATTACCTTATCAAAATGATGCGGGAGTATGACTTTCTACCATGGAAGGTAGACCACTTTTGACTGCCACCATTTTGTTGATTTGTAGCATATTTTTTCTAGTAATGATCATAGATGAATTAGTAACATACTTAATAATTAAATAAACTAATTAATCAAAAGAAAGAAGACATAATGAAATTAAACCTGAAAAGCAGGGGACGTAAAACGATCACAACAAGGTCCCCATTGCTCTGTTCTCCTCAAGTTTTTAGGAGGGTTTTGCCTGATAAAATCCTCATTTTCTGCCCCTCCCATCTTCTGAAAGTGTCTGTGCAAGGTAGTCTTCCAGTCCTTGTAACATTTATTGGCTTCACAGTCGACTACATCTCTAATAATGATTCCCTCTTCCCACAGCTCTTTAAGTTCATCAACAAGTGGTTGCAAAGATACATCAATATCCTTTCCAGGGGCATTTCGGCTGGGAATCAATAGTGTCAACATCTTGTACGGATCCTTAGTGCATAATCGATGAGGTAAATTGTAAGCAATAAGAACCACCGGCCACATACTATATGATAAGCTCATGCTTCTGAAAGGATTAAAACCATCAATAGCTAAATCTAATCGAATGTTTTTTGGTTCACGAGCGAATTCAGGATACTTTATATCTAAATCTCTCCACTCCCTACCATCAACTGGATGACGCATTAAGTCTGGATCCTTCGAACGCCCCCGCATGTGCCACTTCATTTCCTTTGCAGTGTGACGTGAGCTATACAGATGCCTCAATCGATCCTTCAAAAGAAAATATTGTAATACTTTCTGAGGTATTTTTTACCTTTTATTTTTTTACTCTTCCAACGACTGGTGTTACACACTGGACAAACCTGTAGATCAACATTCTCCTTCCAGAATAATGCACAATCATACTTACAGATATGTATTGTTTTGTAGCCCAAACAGAGTTTACCTAATTTCATCTTCGCCTCGTAATACGAATCTGAAAGTTTAATCCTTTCAGGAAATGCATCTTTCAACAGCTTCAAAATAGAGTTCATACATTCATTGGGCCATTTGTACAACACCTTTAAATGCATGAGTTTCACCAAAAAATTCAATGACGAATACTTAGTACACCTTGGATACAATGCCGATTCGAGATCAGATAACAACTCTTTAAATTCATCGTGATGCGCATCACCTAACACCTCAGCTTCTACTTCGTCCGGCATATCATGGTCAGAGTTATTTCGAACAACATCATGTATAACTGCAACCATCTCGTCAACTGATTCATTTATTGGATTGGTCGCAACATCGTCTTCGCCATGGTAATACCGCGTCGTATATAAAGTATTGCAACCATATTGGTGTATGTGTGCTCTAACTGTTTCTATTGGAAAACACTTATGGTTTAAACACCTCCGACACAGACAACTTGTGCAACCACTTTCATCAACATAGTCTTTGGCAATGTTGAAAAACGCAAACAACCCTTCCCAATACTGATCAGACAACCGATTTTTCAGATGTATCCAACTCTTGTCAATTGGCATCTTGACTATAAAAACAATAACACATCTAATCATACTTTATGTTTTCTTGTGACTATATAATCACGTTCATAAAGAAAGTTTAACACTTAATGTTTCAATTTTATAAGTTTTATCAAATTTTATGAACAAGTTATTTTTTTATTATTGCACTCATAATGTTTATAATTAATTTTTAATTTTCTTTCTATTAATATAATTAATTCTTATTAATTAAATTCTTAAAATTAATAGGTTTTAATAAAATTTCGGCATCATAACAACATATTTTTCTTATTATCCAAAAATTCAAACCTGTAAAAAAATAACTTTTAAAAGATTTCGGCACAATATAACTACAAGATGTGTCACCCAGAA